CCGCAAAAACTGAGATATATTCTTTGACTGGGATAAAAATTAGCCTGTACCCTCCTCCATCCCATATAGTACGTATATACTAAGTTTCATAGGGATTGGTTAAGCCGTTAGGGCGGTATAAGGTAAAAAAACAAAGTCATTTTTCCATTTATAATATTAATAAGGATTTAGATAGAGTATCGAGCCTCAAAAATGGTCAACTTTTTGTTAGCTAATTATCTAATTAGCTGACTCATTTTTTTATCAGTATTCTATATATTTATACATAAAATATATATTAACGTATTATTTAATAAATAAAATTACTGTTAACGCATTAAAAAATGCAGGATTTATATATAAAAAAATATAGAAGTTATAAAGGAATCACTCATAACTATTTATCACGCGAAATTATATAAAAAAGTTGACCCGTTTTTCTAGAAGCATTTGTATGGAGATACTGTTTCTAAATAATCAAAGAATTTAGCCCATTTTTCATAAAAAAAAAAAATGCTTCATAAAAGAATGTCACAGATACTGCAAATTGTTTACATATATGATTCTAATTAGGCACTGTATAAGTGTCCAATTTAGCGTTTACAATGCGTCGTAAACTGTACGTATGTAATGCTCGTAATGACAGTCGGAGTGGAGCTCTTAATTAAGCAAGTACACGAGCACGTAGCTCACACGTACGGACAGTCATGCCCTTTAATATCATGTATCATAATGGTGGCTTCCTCGTTTAATTCGCTTGTAATCGACACTTGATGATATCAGGTGCAAAATACTGTCCTCGCGTTATATGAACTTATTATACGCTGTAAATTTATTATATACACTTTTTAAGTGCAAAATTATTTGATCGTCAAATCATAGATAATATTATTTTTTTAGACTATGACATAAGAATGACGCGAATACCAGAGGGAGACTTTGTACAAAAGTCGTTTGCTTGAGCACCTCTGTCCCATTCGTGTTTCTAGCAAGAAGCACTTGTTTGCATGGCTGTGTTTCAGTTTGAAGAGTGGGATATGGTAGTGAATTTACAAGGTACAGAGGAATAACACCCGAGTCCTCAAGAATGGCAACGCATGGGGGGTATCATGGGAGAAACAGTATACATTGTTATGTCCATGGTGCTGCTCATGTCTATAGGCGACGGTTACCACTTTCTATTAGGTAGGCCGTCAGCTCGTTTGCCATTCTAAGTAGCAGAAAAAAATCCTATTAATAGAGAAGCAGGGATTGTTAGTAGAGAAGATTTAATATCTCTATAGCCAGCAATGTACCCTATCAGAGTGACCTCCAGGCGGTTCCCCCTAGAAACCAATTTTGTTAATTCTTGTGGAATTTACCACGATGGGCTAACTTACCTGCTTTCATCCTCGTCTATAATTCCTCACTGGAGTCTATCCAACGGATACTGATAGCACAAGTGGAAATTCCATTATCACCCATAAAAATAATCCAAATATAATAAATGTGCAAGTTTGTAACAATGATGGATGGACACACCATGTATGTTTGTTACTCTTTCGTGCAAAAATTACTAAACGGATTTGAATAAGTTTTAGTTTACGGCTAGGTAACTAACTCCTAACTTAGCCCATAAGATACTTTATATGCTGGTCTACACGGTTTAAACTGCAAGATATATACTATTTTTTATACCACTGAGGTGGCAAAGTATACGGCCCACCTGATGATAAGCGGTTACCGTAGCCTATGAACACCTGCAATACCCGAATTATTACGCGTGCGTTGCCGACACTGAAAAAATCACTACTAATAAAGTATCATAAAGTATATCACCATTACTTCTAATAAACTAGAGTTAAAGCCTCTTATTAAAAAAAAAATCAAAACTCACATAATTCTATTTTAGCTTATTAATCTGTTTTATCTTTCACATTTACACTAAATTCCCAATTTAAAAGAAAGTAAACAACAAAACGGTGTAATAATTAAAGTTGATTTATAGGTTTCAGTTTTTTATAAATAAAGCGGAACTTCTTTACGTTGAATCGTTTGCGAAGCTAAATTCAGTAATACGCAATAAAACCTCAATCAACTGTTTTTTAACGAACGCCTGTCACGATTTCACGTGAAAGTAGCTACACGGTTTTCACCGAAACATCGTGATAGAAAAGATATTTTGTTTATGCATTTTTTTTTTGTCACTACTCTATAAAGTACTCCAGTAATATATATATATATATATATAATTTTTCTTATGCAACTTAGTTATGGCAAACAAGCTGACAGCCCGCCTGATGGAAAGTGGCAACCGTCGCCTATAAACATGAGCAGTACCATGGACATAATAGAGTGCACTGTTTCGTCCATGATACCCTTCATGCGTTGCCATTCCTGAGGACTGAGGTGTTATTCCTCTGTACCGTGTAAATTCACTGCCATATCACACCCTTCAAACCGAAACACAGCCATACAAACACGACTGCTTCTGATGAAACTGATAAAATAATAATATCAATAGGTTTATAATCGAAATAACAACTTTATAGAGATTATTATTTGGTAAAACAATCATTATATATTATTAGTTTAATATATAATTAGTTAAATGTTAACTATACGTTTTTGTTTCTAATATCTTTTAATATGTCTTTTTACAGGACGTCTTATTGCATAATACACAAACAGCATTACTGCTAATTTTATTTTTAAACAACAATTTAATTGATATGAAAAGGTTTGCTGCAAGAAATCTCTTATTAGAGATATACTCACCTTTGCATTACATTTAAAATTGAATGTTTCTTAACACTACGTTTGTGTACAGTAAAGAAAAAATAAAGTAATTTTTCTAGAAATATTTTTTTCGAGTAACTTCAAAACAGTCTTAGGCAGTTAGTTATAAAACCTTACACAATTTTCCAGAAACGAATTACTGAGTACTCGAGTCGTATTTAGGGAAAAAAGTTCTCTAGATGGTATTAGGCACATACATTATGAAATGCTAGTCATTTAAAAAATATATAAATTGCAAATAACAATAGATAATTATAGACAATCACAATTATTAATACATCATCCAGTTTACGGTGGAATTCATTGCGATGCTTACTCATTCAGCGACGTCGCACTAATCTATTGGTCGTTATAAATTGGCGCCCACATCACAACTCGGCACACCAGAGTCCTATATCTTAATATTATTGTGAAAGTGAGTTTGTTTATTTGTTTGTTTGTTGTCTCTTGACGCCTTAATAACTGTACCAATCGTCATTAAATCTGATATATATGTAATATTTGAAATGGAGAAGAAAATGGGTTAATTTACAGGGTACAGAGGAATAACACGTAAGTCCTCAGGAATGGCAACGCATGGGCGAAATAGTATACTCTGTTATGTCCATGGTACTGCTCATGTTTATAGGCGACGGTTACCACTTTCCATCAGGTGGGCCGTCAGCTTGTTTGCCATTCTAAGTTGTATACAAAAAAAAAAATTCCATCCCAGTTACAAAATTCTTCAAAAAGAGTCTTCAAAGTTTCAAGAAACAATAAACTTCTGGGTGTTTGCTCAAAAACAACGATGAAGAATAAGGTTGAACCATTGAGCTTTTGTTCCCCACTTTTCCCTTCTCAGACTAGCTGTTCTAATCTTTCCTTTCTCTATAGATGTCTAAACTAGGAATAAATAGTTATTTATTAGTTTCTAGTAACCTGTTAATGGTATGGAAGGATTTTAACAATTTTCTTTTTACATGGGTTTTGAAAGCAACACCATCGTACGTACGAAACATGGTTTCGTGCAGAGACCTCGTCCCAATTTGTGAGAATTAATAGACTTTAATTAGCAGCGACGGCTCAAGTAATTGTCTTTGTGACAATCCACGCACAATGGCGGTCTAAAAAGGGCACGAATAATTAGAATAACTTGGAAAGTAAAGAATAAATAACTTTTGAAAATGTATTGATATGTTGTTTGAAGTATGCTCCAAGTATAGTCAGGTTACCATTACCATTCTTCATACCATTCAATAGGTCTACCATTGGTTAAAAATATAGTTGAGTATTTTTTTAAATAGTAATATTTCTTACCAGTGTTTTAGAATCCCAAAATAGCAGTGTTTTTTTAACTAAAATTCGTATTAATTTATCATTATTATTAGACATTTAACAAAATTCACATCTCCCCTTTTAAAGAGAGGAGATGACAAACTAACCTCCGACAGAAGTCGGCCGAGATTTAGGATCCTAGGGAGAGAAAGCGCCGTACTATGCGGGCAATATTTAAGAGCACTGCTTTCTCGAGAGTGAGCTGCCTCGGAATCCCAACCATCTGAGGTATTGTTCTATACTGGTCGGAATAAGACTGTTCCGTTGAACGTTATCGTTATAGAACGATTGGAATGATTTCGATGGACGTCACCCCCAAAATCCGGTCACCTCGTGAGCCAAATCAAGATATTTTCTCTTTTTCTCGATTTCGGCTTTCACGAGGTTCTCGTCATGCAATATGGTGATATTTACGAAAAACACCCTTGAGTGTGCCGTACCATTACCGCGATATCAAGTTATTATTCATATTTATACATGAGCAGACTCGTTTCTATCTCAAGTAATTCCATAATATCCGAATAGTCATAATATGCATAGCGTGTCAAAGTCGAAGCTCCTGGGTACAGTATCTACTTTCGAGTAATGTCTTTTTAACGTATGTTGTGATGTTTGATAATGGAGGCATATTTCTTTTTTATGCATAATTATATTCTATAAACACTGCGGTAAGTAATCTGTCCACAAGATCTTTATTTTCAAACTTACTCTCCCATTTCCAGAACTATAGCAGACCACCTTTCATTAATAACAATTTTACCATCTAATTAGTCGTACTAGCACTAACAGTACAAGGGCAGGGCATCGTTAGGTCAGTCTATTCACTCTTTTACTAGTAACATCGTAGCTGGTTTCTGATGTATTTTGATTCCATCGTCACACGGAGATGAACAAAGATTAAGAGTATTCAGGCGACTCTAAGCACTCACCGTCTTCTAATTTAAGCGACCTGGCGGCTCGCCTCGCGTCTGCTGTGGACACGTCATGTTCCACGTAGTACTCCTCGTAGCGGACCTCGTAGATGCTGTCCTCGGGGCTCCACTGCTCGCTGTCGTTGGTCTTCGTGCTATTAGGCTTCCCGGTCCCGACGGGCTTGGACGCAGCTGCGTGTTGTACCTGCACAGTAGAATGCTCGACTTTGAATCTAAACAACATGGGTATTACAGTATAACCTAATGACTCGAACTATGAATCGTTTACCTTGATTGTTCCTTTCTAAGCTGTATAAAAAGTCTAATATATAAAATTTTTAAATTCTGAGCGAATTTAAAAATTAGCACCTTATTATTCTGAATCATTAGAGGTATTAACTAATGATTAGGAATTTTTAGTTACATTCCTATTGTACTTATCATCCTTACCACGACTTCAGGCACGCGGAAGATGAGGTCAGCGCAGACCGGTGGCAGCAGCGCGGTGAGCGCCGCCGCCGCCAGCCACGTCGGCAGCGTCGCCCGCCGCCGCTGCCGCCGCATCCCATCGCTCACGTGCACATCCACCGCGGGCTCTGGGGAACATTATATAACTAAACTGATGCGGCTGAGAAATAATTAAGAAGTTAAAACCTTTTTTTTTAACGTCTGGTAAATGCTATATGCAGACCCATACACCTTGTGGGAGGTGAATGGATACTGTGGAATCCTCCCGTTAGGCGGGGGTGTACCCACCAAAAACCAGACAATATACCCTCGAAGTGCCATATGTCGAAGACATGGGTTCGTTTTCGCACACACCACCTCAAGAAGTTAAAACCTGATAGTTCTACAATTAAAAAGAACTGTCGTGCATATGGACGTAAAGCATACCTAAACAATGACCATTGTCAAATGGTCTCGGCATGGAATAGACCGTCCTTTTCTTTTCTGTCCCTCTTAAAACATCAGCAAAGCCTGTGGTTACCAAACTGTCCGCCAAGTGTGGCAACTGGCAAACGCCCTTTATGAGGGAAGCTTATGTTCAACAGTGGACAGTTAACGCCTAATATGATGACGCAAGTTAATAAAAGTTTAAAATATGCTCCCCAGATATTCTAAGCATTTGCTAATGTTTCTAATTCATTTTTTATAAAATAAAACCATTTATACTCTTTCATAAATATACAGTAACATTTTTATAGGAAAGGCCGAAAAAAACACTGATACCAACTAGAACAATATGTATATTTATACGGTGATACGAATTTGTGTTTACCTGCGCCTGCAGGCACTAGTTACTCATGATTCTATCCATTTTGAATAAGGTATCTAACTATCTTAATTAAGATATAAAGAGTGTACAGATTTCCTCTGAATTTGACGACCACTGTATGCCATTATGGTCGATTACCATAATGAAAATTTATTACTGAACAGCCATAAGACACATAACACCATAAGCAGCATGAGCATTTATTACTGAAGATTTTTAGAAGATTAGGTTCGATAAGGTGTCTATCGTCGTTTCTCATATTCATTGAATTGTTAAAAGCATAGGACAATTAATATCAGCGTAGAATCTAATATCAATAATTAATCTAATATATATAATTTTAGGTAACCCCATGATTATGTGGACCTAGCAGTTAATACGCCTTAGTCATCGACGCCGTTCGTGACTGCATCCATGCACTAAACGGGGCACTCAATAAAGGTATTTGTATGCAATCCGCACCCGACCCCTTCTGACCGCCCATTGTGCGATTCCGCACGAAGTTACAACTACATTAGAAATCTTCAACGGCCATTCTCAAATAATTTGATCACGTCAAAATGGAATGTTTGTCATATAAAAGAGGCACTGGCTTCAATCCCTTTCTGTTAAATCTGCTAGCAAACTTTCATGCATGTTGTGTTGCTTTAGTTTGAAATTTTGACAGCAAAATTACTGGGTACTGTTAAGATCTACATGTAAATGGTTGACAACTCGCAAATAATACCTATAGTGCTGTAAATATTCATGGACCGGCTTCCAAAGCTGTTTTTCGTTAATTTGATGGTATGCTCGAGCATGGTATAATATAATATAATATAATAGTATAATAAGTATACAACGAGGGTGGTAATCGATTACCACCCTCGTTGTATACTTATTTATGTCATATTTATTAACTGTCCAAACACTTTTATAATTAAGGTCCTTCTACTCATCTACAGCGGTGGCAGACAACAGGCAAGACTCATTATGGGTGCCTTAACTGGATATATGCCAATAAGGCATATACTACACAAGATGGGTCTATCTTAAGACACACTGTGCAGACTATGCGGGGAGAAATCGGAATCCATGGAACACTTGATGTGCAACTGTAATTAGCGAGCATGCGCATGAGTCTACTGGAAACGGCTTATCCAGAGCCAGGGGACTACAGATATCTTAAATCGCGGGATATCGTTAAGGTAACACAAAGGATCTATGAAATGATGGTATAAGGCAGGGGGGAAGCACAAAAGATTCCGATGGGTCGACGTGCAACGGCTTAGCTGACCCCATATGCGAATATAAGATAAGATAAGGTCCTTCTAAATCAATATCAAGCTGTTTTGATTACACTTTACCCCAAAAATCACTAGATATTTAAATACGTATGTATATATATATATAAAAAACTGAATACTCCTTGCAACATTGAATCTTGCAAGTATTCAGTTTTTTGGCAAATATAAATTATATAATTTTCAGCAAATATAATAACAAGAATGGTACCTATATCTCATCCATACCAATATCCCATTATGGGGGGAAAGGTTGTTGTGAAATGGTTAATTCCTGATGAATTCATCATGATGGGCTAACTGGCCTGTTTTCATTCTCATCTATCACCCTTCACTGGTGCTCCGCCAGCGTATCCCGTTAGCGCAGGCGGGATTACCATACCATTTTCACCCAAAAAAAAAAAATATTCCATTATCAAGCGTATTACAAAAATTAAATTCTGCAATTTTGCTAGCAAAACCCCCCCTTACGGGAAAGGCCTGTGTTCAGCAGTGAATTGTTAACTATTGATATGTTACTATGTTTATAATTTGCTAATTTCCACTTACAAATAGACACATAATAGATAAATCATTTATCGTCAACCCTAGTGCATGAATAAAATAATAAAGAATGAATTAATAACTGATCAAACCTTTTATGTACACAGCCACATATTTCTTATAGAAATAAGTACCTCTGTCAAAAGAAGAACATCTCGATTTAGCTGTATTTTTATACGATATTCTTTGGAAACCATCCTTTGGAATCAACTCCCAGCAGCAGTACTTCCGAACCGATACTACAACATAACCTTCAAGAAAAGAGTATATTCCTTTTTAAAAGGCCGGCAGCACACCTGCAATGCCGCTGGTGTTGTGGGTGATCATGGGCGGCGGTAGTCACTTACCATCAGGTGAGCCGCATGCTCGTTTGCTCCTTGTGTTATAATAAAAACAAATCTGCTCCAAAACAATATTGGAAAAACATTCGATAATTGCCTTGTGTTCCCGGAATAGAATGGAGACTCTTTCCTTTCTCGTTTCTTTCACGTCGTAAGAAGCAACTAAATATACTATATGATTGAGGGATGGGTAGCAGAGTCGCTTTTAAAACATCACTAAAACCAAACTGCGTTTTCCAACCCGCATGTCAAGCGTGCCAACTACTAACAAAACCCTCTTTATGAAGGCCTATGTTCAGCAGTGGACAGGTAAATGTTGATAATATGATGATGAGGTGGGAAAGGGATTGTTAGTAATGGAGACTGAGAATCCCATTGCTAGCAATATACCCAACCAGGTCGACCTCCTCGCAGTTCTCCCTGGAAACTATCATAATTAATTCCTGATGAATTCATCATAATGAACTAACTGACCTGTTTTCGTTGTCATCTATCACCCTTCACTGGTGCTCCGGTGTTAGATCGCAATACTAATAATCCTTTTCCCCCATTAGCATACGGTTTTTCTACCTACCACGTAACTGACCTAGCGTAGAGTTATCCTAAATATTCATGACACGTAATGGCTTTAAAATGTTATTGGAGGACCATAAAAATGCGCCAGTCACATTAATCAGGCCAAAACGCTTGAATAGAGTACACGATTGGCCCTAAGGGCCGACGGTGGCGTGTGACCATTGCCCTCGCACCCGGATTTGCATTTAAAAGCCGTTACACTTACGTTCCTTGTGGTCCGTGCATGCATGCATCCAGTTATGAAGCACTTGCGACTGTTCTAGGTAAATAGGTTTTGCATGATATTTATTGTTTATATAAATTATTAATAAGGATAATAAAATAATCTAGATCGGGATAAAAAATCGCCTTTTCTAACTCAAAAAGATATGGTCATCATCATATCAGCCGTCTACTACTTTTTTTTATACAATTTAGAATGGCACACAAGCTGACGGCCCACCTGATGGAAAGTGGTAACCGTCGCCTATAGACATGAGCAGTACCGTGGACATAACAGAGTATACTATTTCGCCCTTGATACCTCCCATGCGTTGCCATTCGTGAGGACTCAGGTGTTATTCCTCTGTACCCAGTAAATTCACTGTCCACTGCTGGACATAGGCCTCCCCTAAATTGGAGATATATAAGTTACTATTAAGGCTTTCTTTCCTATTGGTGTTCGTAAGAGGCGAGTAATAGAGTGATGGGCAAGAGCGTCCCTCTTAAAACATCTCCAGAGTCTAACTGCAGTTGCCAATCCGCCTGCCAAGCGTGGCAACTACTAGCAAATCACCCTGAAGGGAGGGACAATTAGATGATCCTGGTTTTTCCATTATTCACAGCAAACAATGAACAATATTAGGTTTATTATAATTTAATTGTACAATTATTCAAATTATATTGTTACTTATATCAAATTCGGTTAATTTGTATGCGTGTGATGCATGCAAAATTAATTATAGATGACTTATTGTAATTTAATATAACAAATTTACTATTTCATAAAGAGACATTACCAAAGGAAGACTTTGTACAAAAGTCGTTTGCTTGGCCACCTCTGTCCCATTCGTGTTTCTACCGTGAAGCAGTTGTGTTTTAATGGCCGTGCTTCGGTTTGTAGGGTGGGATATGGCAGTGAATTTACAGGGTACAGAGGAATAACATCTGAGTCCTCAGTATACTCTGTTACGTCCATGGTACTGCTCATGTTTATAGGCGACGGTTACCACGTTCTATCAGGTGGGCCGTCAGCGTGTTTTTTTTTTTTGATGGGTGTAAATGGCATGGTAATCCCGCCTGCATTAACGGGATACGCTGGCGGAGCACCAGTGGAGGGTGATAGATGAGAATGAAAACAGGCCAGTTAGCCCATCATGATGAATTCATCAGGAATTAATCATGATAGTTTCCAGGGAGAACCCCGTCAGCGTGTTTGCCATTCTAAGTTCTATAAAAAATATTATTAATCATGAAATAAAAATAATAATAGATCTATCAAAACAGTAAGAATAGTACTTATAATTTTATTTAGTTTTTATAATTACCTCATATATATTTATAATATTCCTAGACGTAGGAAGCAGATGAGATTACGC